CTCTTTAAAGGTTTTGTAAAACTCTGCTGTATACCCATCCGGTCCTGGGCTTTTCTTAGTTGGTAGTCTTTTGATGGTTTCTTCTATTTCCTCAATTGATATTAGTCTGTTTAGGTTGTCTATATCCTCCTGACTCAATCTGGGCAGATCATATGACTTAAGAAATTTATCGATGCCTTCACTATCTTCTAATTTATTGGAGTATAAGGATTCAAAATAATTTTTGATTATCTTCTGTATTTCTGAAGTGTCTGTTGTGATATTGCCTTTTTCATCCCATATGCTAGTAATTTGAGTTCTGTCTCCTCTTCTCTTCGCTAGCATGGCGAAAATGGGCCCTGTACCCAAAGGTGAGGAGCTGTTCCACAACCTGCAGCCCCTGCTGATCTCTGTGCTTAGTGACAGCTCAAATAGCTGAGCTCCACTGTGTTTCCACTCTCGGCTTGGGTTGCTATGTGGCTGCTGCTGATGTCCAGGAGGACATCGTTTATGAGGACATGGAGACACTCTGTGGTACCCTGCGCACTCTGGCCACTGACAGCAACAAGTACCATGCTAAGGCCAACGCTCTACTTTCCGTGCTGTGCTGAACTTTGTTGAGGGCAGTGAATGCCAGGAAGAGACAATCCGCTTTGGACTGAAGTGCTCTATGTGGACAGCTGGGCTCAGCACCAGATCTATGCTGCCTTCAAGGATGTACTGGGTTCCGGCATGCACCACCACCTTCAGAACAATGAGCTTCTTCTTGACTTCTTTGGCCTGGGCCCAGTGCTGGTGCTGGATGACACTTCCCTGAAGGCCTGCAAAATTTCATGCTTTGAGAAGCACCTGTACAATGCTGCTACCTTCAAAGGCCTGACCAAGGCTCGCAGCCGTGTAAGGGACAAGTGGGCAGACACCCTGTGAGGCGGACCAGCTGAAGAGAAGTCTATCCACATTGTTGCCCATATTTTTACAGAAGAGAGTGCAAGAACTGGTCTCTGCCAGTGATTGTCACTTTATTTTTTTAATGGCAAAACCAAAAACAGATATAGGACAGATGAGTGAAGGGTCAGGACTTTTGGGACCCTGGCCTTTGTCCCCGCACTCAACTCTATGGCCTCTTCCTGCCCTTTCTCAGGTAAGGCCAAATGTGTGCCTCTCCCAGGGTAGTCAGTAGGGAAGCTACTGTTTGGCCCCTCTGTGATTATGTAATGATATAATGTGAGAGTGTATTGGCACCAATTTGTGTACTGCGTTGTGACTCTGGTAGTAGCAATCACAGTGAGCTGAGGCTCCACAAGTCGAAGGGCAGAGTCCCCAGCAAGGCTACCTTTACTTCAGATGCTGGCTGTATTACAGGGCTATTCAGGAGCCCTACATTTCTGACCAACTGATACTAATTTGGGGATTCATGTGACTCCCGCATAGAATTCATGGAATCCTGGTGATTAAAGTGCTGCTATAAAGGGTATAAACAAGGACAAACCAAATAATGAGATATACCAGGTGAAGTCTAGGAGGGTCTGAGCAAGGACCCTCTCCCTGTGGGATCCAGCACACCTTTCTCTTGGCCCATCACTGTATTCACCAAGCAGAAATGTCCACTGAGATTCAGTGTCCAGAACTTTTATTTTGGTTTCATTATGTAGATGTGATTGATTAAATCAATGGATGTGGGATTGAATTCAGTCTCCATCTCCCTTTACTGCCCTGAGGTTGGGCTGGTTAAAGCCCTAACTCATAGGAGTGGTGAACAACCTTCCCTCTCTTGCATCAGATCCAACCTGTTAGCAGAATCACAATTATGATACAAATAATGATAGTTGTATTATTTGTGAAATTTTAAGGATTTAGACTTCCTCCCAGAATCTAGGAGCAAAAGCCATTCATTTCTGCTTATTTAACACTTGTCATTTGAGATTGATTCATGTTTTCACTCAGGTGCTTACAATCATTCCAGTGGATACATGAGTCAACAGTGCATTCCTTTTTATTGCTGTGTGGTATTCCGTGGTATAGAGATACCACAGTTTGTTCCACCATTCAGCATTCCTTCAGGAACATAAGTATCCCATAAAAATCCCTTCTGGACCTTACATAAGGTGCATGTCAGTGGTTGATGTAGTAGTTGAAATATAATATAAGCTTATCTGCATTCTTCATGTTCTTTAGGGAGAGTCTGTCCCCTGCCTTAGCTAACTGAGAAAATCACTATACATGGTCATAATCCTAGGGGGAAAGCAACACAATAAACTGGTCATGACCAAAAAGAAAGACTTGTTTTGCATTAAATTTACTAAATTGCTCTAGTATTTAAAAATGTACTTGTGCACAATCTGGTTTCAAGGAACTGACAATACATTCTGTTCTGCATGGGAATGTGGCTACTGACCTAAAGTTCTAACTTATGAATAGGAAGACAATGAAGGCAGTTAAATGAGGGAGTCAGTTTAATAAGGTGTGTCAGGGTCTGAATAAATTACTCCCTGTGATTTCATGAGAAGCTTGTGGTGGATAAATTGTGCTCCACGATTCCCATTCCCCTATCCTGAGTTCTGACCTTTCTTTGTGAACACATGCTAATGTCCTGTGAATTTCTCAGGAGAAAAATTTTTAAGTTATGTTTGGTAGAGAACTGTAAGAAGCCATGGAAATATTGGGAAGTAGAGGTGGGAAGTGCTAGCTTACACACCTTCATTTGTGTGTGTTCTCATTCAACATGAGGGGGCCAAGCAGGGGTTCCACTGAGGGGGTCTTATATGGGAGATTCAGTGAGGAATAATTTCATAAGCATATGGGATTTTTTTCATGAGGAGATTCTTGTAAAATGAGTCATTCTTTCCATGTGGAGACCAAGGTGGTCTCATTGTTCTTATATCCTTTTGATTTTTAAACCTTGATGTTACAATTTCATAGGGTCTGATCCAGTGGGTTTTGCTTTCACCCCATCTGGAAAAAATGGGGTTTGTAGTCAATATGGTGGTTACATAGTGGCTGAGCTAGCCCACTTGCTTTGCATCCACATATTCCCACACTGAATAAAGGGGAAGGGACTCATGGGGAGCCACTGGCTGAACTAGAATTCTGATGCTAGGAATAGAGTCCAGCAAAGTGTTTTCCCTGTGTATTTCTCACAAGGATGGAAAATATCTAAGAGCTGTGAGTAAAGGGATGAATGCATGGGTTATACCATCTGAGAGATCCAATATTATGTTAACATTTTGAATAAATCTCAATCAAGATATGCTATTGTCTCTTAGTTGAGTCATACCAGTTACCCAAAATGGTGAGGCCCCATATGGCTGGACAACTTCTATTTTAAAACCTAAATCCAGTGGAAGCCAGAAAATCTGGTGGTCTTGCCCTGGGAGACATTTTATACATTTGATGTGATAATGAACTGGACTGATCAATAATGACCAAGTGGGAGCCTATAATGTGCCTATGTCTTCTGACTCTTATTATCAGGCCACCCCTGCCATACTGAGAGGTACCATAGCCCTGGCCATGTTTGTGACGTCTTAATATACTGATAATGCAATCATGTTTACAGGGTGGTAGAGTTGAAAGCCTCTTGGCACCGTTCCCAACCTCTTCCGTGCAGTGTTTGACAAGAAAAAGAAACATAGCCAAAGGCCTGTTGTATTCAAAAGAATTAAGTGGACTTTTCCCAACTGCTAGGGGATGTTCTTTACATACTTGAACTTTCCCTAATGATGGGGGTGTCACTGTTGTTCAGCGTGGTTACTCTGAGCACTCTTGACTCTATGCTGGTGGAATGACTCAGGATGGTGTCGTGGGAGAATGACCAACTTATTTTAAAATTAATTGTTAAAGCCAGGTATGCTGGTCCACCCCTGTAACCCCAGTAGTTTGGAAGACTAAACTTGAGGTCAGCCTGAGAAACCCATCCCCAAAATAAATGAATAAATAAATATATGAATAAATTTTCAGTGTAAAGAAAATCATTAAATAACCATCATTTGTGCTACTGTTAGAGGTGTATACTGAGGGTGTGTGTGTGTGTGTGTGTGTGTGTGTGTGTTGAGATGGGTCTTGTTATGTTGCCTAGTCTCTTCTCTTACTCTTAGGTCTTAATAATCCTCAAACCCCAGCATTCTGAGTATCTGGGATTACAGACATCCCTTACCTCATTTGACTCTCATTGTGATTTTTTAAAAAAATTTTAATATATTTTTTTAGTTGTATATGGATACAATACCTTTATTTTGTTTGTTTATTTTTATGTGGTGCTGAGGATCAAACCCGGTGCCTTACAGGTGCAAGGCAGTTGCTCTACCACTGAGCCAGCCCCAGCCCCTCTCATTGCGATTTTAAGTTGCGTTGTTATAATGGCTAAAGATGTTGTGCATCTTTACCTTTGCATGTTGGACTCTGCATTTTCTTCATGACAGTAATCTTATTATGACCTAGAAAAATTCCAAACTAAACACTGTCTTAGAAGAAGGAGGAAAACAAAAAAGATTATAACTGGGAAAAATGTCCAGGTGCAGTGGCATATACTTGAAATCTCAGAAGCTTAGGGGACTGAGGCAGAAGGATTGTGGGTTCAAAGCCACCCTCAGCAATTTAGTGAGGTCCTAAGAAATTTAGCAAAACCCTGTCTCTAAATAAAAATATTAAAAAAGGGATGAGGATGTGTCTAGGTTTAATGTTTAGTACCAAAAAAAAAAAAAAAGAAAATAGAAAAGAATAATGAAGTAGAGAATAGGAAAACATTGATAGAATCCATGAAATCCAAATTTGATTTTTTTGAAAAGATCAGCAAAATTAACCAACCTTCACCTTGAAGCAACAAGAACAAAAGGTATGACCCAAAATATAAGATTTGAACATGGGGTCATTCTGCCTAACAGAAAGAAAAGGCATCCCAATAGAGGACTGTGAATAATTTAGATGAAAAGATTCAATTTTCTGCCAGTTAATCAGCAGGAGGCCACAGGGGAGCACAAGTTCACCTTGCACAATGAAGGCAAGGATACTGCCCTGAGCTCCTATGGCCACTAGAGGATGCCGAATCCCGCTTACTGCCCCAGGTGGTGCACAGGCCTGTGGAGCCTGGGCCTGGTTTCCTTAGAACCCAGCCCTGGAAGCTTGTCCTCCACTTGTGTAGAGGGAGCCTCATCTTTGCCAAGGAGGTGGTATTTTGGAGGCTCTGATCCCCAAGGAAGGTGCTTTTGTTCGCCGCTGCTTGTGGACGATTTCTTAAGTAGGCCATTCCCAAAGGTTTGTTCTTTCCTTCCTCACATTGCATTCAGCAGCATTTGGACGAAATGACCCATTTATTTCAGGTGGAGGCTCGTCATAGCAGAGGAGGGAGGTGAGGTTTTGTGCACATGCAGGTGGTTTCTGGGGAGAAATCCCCAGGACACATACAGAAAAAGGGACACCTCCAATTGGGGACAGAATGGACCCAGTCCTGTAGCTGTACTGATGAGCTGTGAACATAGGACTTTCCAGGGTGAGGGGTGAGGAAGGCCAGGGGGAAGTGTCAGTGGGTGGTGACCCACTTATTTTTATAATTAATTAGAGTTTATCTTGTCCCCCAGGTGAAAGCAGTTGAAAAACAAGTGGCGAATTTAAAGGGGGTCAAGTAAAACTCATGACATTTTTTTTTGTTTCAATATTGCATTTATATCAAAACTATAATTCAATACAATTTTACTTTCCTGGGTTTTATGAAAGCAAATAATATGTTTTAAAGGGATACTTATTAGTTCTTCTCCTTCTCAATGGAGAGAATTATCATGTTTGACAATTGCTCATGACTCTGTGATGACTTTAAATAATTTTATATTAATTGGCACTGGGTAAAAAGCATCTTTCTCAGGACACTGCTGTGACTGTGATGCTCAAAAATAATATGTCAGAATGACTTCCAGGTGTGAAATGTATTTCACTAAGCAAAATTTGTCAATCACTTTTAGAAGATTCCCAAAATGATGGTGGTACTTTAATAACAACTATTGATATTTTATGTCAATAAAGGCCATTCATATGAAATGCTTACAGAATTTAATACAAAATCCAGTGATGGAGTATTTTGCACGAGATGTTTTTTGAATTAATTTTTTAATTATTCAATATCTGAAGATACTTTAATTTTATGTATCTCTAATGCAATGGGGGAAATTAGGATGCCTTAACATTCTGTACAAATTTTCCGTATGCAAAAAAAAAAAAAAAAAGTTTGTTGGCTGTGGTTGTGGCTCAGGGATAGAATGCTTCCTAGCATGTGTGAGGCTCTGGGTTCTATCCTTGCACCACATTAAAAATAAATAAATAAATAAAGTTATTGTGTCCATCAACAACTGAAAAAACCAATATTAAAAATTAAGTTTATCTAATTTCACCATCTTTCCTGTCCCCATGCCCCGTCCCCTCCCATCATTACCCTAGGTACATGTATGACTGAACATCTGGTGTGACTCTATGTTGTGTACAAGCAGAGATATGAAAAATTGTGCTCCGTTGTGTACAATGAATCAAAATTCATTCTGTGTCATGTATAACTAAATAGAACAAATTTTTGAAAAGAAAAAATCATGTTTATCTCCCTAAATAATTGGAACTTTGAGCCTTGGATCCTACATTATCAATTTTTATTTGCATTTGTCTTTGTTCATTTTCTAATTTGGAAAGTATATTATGTCTTGTAACAGTTCTTCTTCAAACATTCTTGAAGTTACTTTCTTTTCCTGTTAGCAAAAGCCTTCTAATAAGGAATGCAGATTTATTTTTTGGAAATTATTTTGTTGTTATTGGAAAGCCTATTTGACTTCCTCTACTTTTCCCCTAAAATACCAGCCCATATTGATGAATCGCAGAAATTATTAATTTGCCCAAAGAAGGATTGGATTTGGTGTAGGGAATTTCTTCAATTGATATGTCTAATGTTATTCCATACAATTAGATGGAATTTAATATATATTTCATTTGTTTAATATATATTTCATGTATATGAGCATGGATCAGTGTTGTTAATTTTGGGGGAAAATGTTTTGATTACAGTGACTGTCTCCTGGTGCCATCCAGTTGGGTAAATCCCAGCCTCTCATAATCCCTGAGCACTTTCCATCCTGTAAATCTCTACCAGATCAAGTGATTTCCTTGCACCTCCAGTCACTAAAACATGCCAGTAGAATCCCATAGAGCAGAGATCTGAGAATGAACACACAAACTCTGTCCAATTATCTTTCTGCTGTCCTCTGATGAACACAGGTGTGAACAGTCTCAATCAAGTTAAGTCTCAATCAAGTCAGAACCAATGCTGGAACCATCTTCTGGGGTCATGGACAGTGAACTGAAGGAGACATTCCAGTGTGGTGTGCAGCTTATAAGGAAGAGGGAGAGATGTGAGTGAATGCCCTTTTCCACAGAGTTGGGAATGGGGCAAAAGGCAGACAGTGTCAGGGTACCTAGCAGAAGAAGTGCTTTATGTGGAAAAGTAGAAATGAGATAACCCTGTGTCTCCCCAGCTGAGAGATCAGAGAAGTTTAGGGGAAAAAAAATTTCCTCCAAGAAAGTCATGTTCCAATATTGTTTTGGTTCCAAAAGAAGGACTTCAAATACTAATTAAAGTATGAAGAGGTCATTGTTAATTTTAGGATCACAGTCACCCCTTATGCTGGAGGATCTGTTCCAACATCCTCAGTGGATGCCTGAAACAGTGCAATTCCCCCCAGTTTATCTCATGGCCTAATGGTTGTCAAGATACTGATGGGTGGGTAGCCTATAGAGCATGAATCCATTGGACAAAGGTATGATTCACTTCATGGTCAGGATGGAGAGTGATATTGCCTGATTTCATCATTCTATTCAGAATGGTGAGCAATTTTAAAAGTATACATTGTTTATTTCTACAATCTTGAATTACATAGGTAATTCATGGATAAGTGAAAGAATAGAAAGTGAAATCACTTTTTATTTTAATTGATCTTAGATATACATGATGGTAGATTATATTTTAATATATTGTCTGCACATGGAAAGCAAAATCTTTGATAAGAGGGAACTGGTGCACTTTAGGCTTTTCCTTGCTATGACCAAAAGACATGACATGAAAAATGGACCAGGGATATAGCTCAGTGGTAAAGCGTACCCCTGGGTTCAACACCCAGCAACAGAAAATAAAAAAGCCAATAAACATAGACCTGTATGGCATTTACCCTGCTAAATAAACTTCTTCAGTCCCTTCCAACGTTATGTGATCAAAGAGAAATGAGACTGCACTGATTTGAAAAATGCAGACTAGGCATATCCCAGGGCTAGAATGATGAGGGGTTGCTGGGAGGGGAGATGGGAGTGGTTGTGGGTACCAGATTCAGGAAAATGTTCTGGAACTACATAGTGGAGATAGGTGCAGTGTTCTGAGAATGTACTTCATGCCAATAAACTGAATCTTTAACAAATAAATATTTAATTTGAAAAAGCTAATATTAAAAATATATATAAGTAAATAATACAATAAAAAGAATTAAAAATAAATGCCAGGAGAGGGCAAGAGCACCTCTGGCATGGGAATAGGTATAAGAGGGAGCTCAGTGGGTTTCGCTGGCGGAGGGGTCACCAGGAGCTGCTGGCCTGTAGATGACATTTCAGGCGTTTCCAGCTGTAGTGCTCTCCCAGATGGTGAAAATTGGCCAGTTGTCTCCTCAGTCACCAGAAGTGGCCCTGCATGTGCAAGCAGAGTAAAAGTTGCCAACTATCCATGTTCCTTCCAGGGACAAAATGCTTTCCACTGCCTTCCTCAGAGATCCACACACAAACGCACCCCTTGAGAGTGTCCCCAGAATGCATGCAGAGAATGACAGCTGTGCTTCTCATTGTTTCTGTCCTTCCCATGTTTCTGGAAGATGTGCTCTGCATGTCCAGCCCCGTCCCATCTCCATATGCTCACAGCCACCACCCAGACCTTCTCACATTTGGCCTTTCTCTCCATGGGCTCTGGGTTTTCAATAAAGCCCAGGATGTGGTGGTCTTCACCTTCCAAGTCATGGCCTGTCACATAGACATGGCAATGGATGTTCCGAGCAGGATTATGAAGCTGCTGTAATCCAATGAGTGAGGACACCACCCTAGAGGAATGCAGGCGGGGGGAAACAGCAGCCTGAGAGGCCTGGCCTTTCTGACCATGAGGTTGATACTCTTGTCACCCCACTGTTCAAAGGAGCAGGCTGGGCTCAGAGAGGTGCAGGGCCAGTTCGAGGGCTCACAGCTCTATGTGACTCTGTCACCCTGCGCAGGGCTTACCTTCCCCACATTAAGTCCATCTCCTCTTCGGTAGAGGGACCGGAAGGTGCTGGATGTGAAAGAGGAGTCATCATCTAGGCAGTCTGGCTCTAGGGTGTCCTCCAAGCTCTCTAGGGACTGTGCCTGGAACATATATAACATGCTGCTATCATCTACCTCTAGCCACCTCTCCCTTCTGGAATGGGACATGGAAGAGATGGAGAGTCAATGGCTGAAGTGTGACCCACCAGATGTATCTGGGGATGGTGTTCAGTGCAAAATCCAAAGCCCTAAGGGGATTGTCCCAGAGGGGGACAGGAGAGCCCCAGCACAACAATGGCTGGCAGAGTTCAAGTGGAATTGCTGAGGGAATAGTTGGCTACTTTAGCAGCTTCAGGCCAGTTTGTTTTATTTCAAGAGGTGGCAGCTCTGTGCATTAGGAGCATTATCCCCTGAGTCCCACCAGCACATCACCTTCTGGAGGTGAGAAAACAGGCTCATCCCGGATAGTTCTTGTGTGAGGACACCCAGGACATCATTCTCTGTGATGCTGTCAAAGTGGCTCCAGGAGGGAATGAGGTCCAGGTCACAATGCTGGGAAAGGCTGAATGGCTGTGGAAACTGAGTCCACCTGGAAGGTGGTAAAGTGCTGGGACCCCCAACACCTGTTCTGAGACTGTGGGGTGTGTTCCTTGATACAGCAAGTGACATAGAAATGGACTAAGTAGCAAAGTTCCTCGGATGTTTTGGCTAAATGTCCCCCTACTAATCCTGTTAATGTGTAAGACTTGGAGAGTGTGTGGAAGGACAGGCAGTTCACTGCCTCCTGGACACCTGGGTCTAGGAGTTATAATCAGCTGAATGGTGGGATGTAAATCTTCAGAGAAAGGAAGTGAGAGTGTCAATGTTACTGTTGTGATGTTGTCTCTAATATGGGGACAGTGACCTTGCATGTGGCCAAGGCCAAGGCTGGCAGAGAAGGTGGGGATGGGTGAGGAGTTGGTGCTCAAATTCCTTATGGTTCAGGACTCTGCCCCTCCACCTTCCAGCCCCACAAGGAATGTGTTCAGGGTGGTGTCTGGGCTCAGTATGGTCTTCTGTTCTTCTCTCGGCCTGGTCTGTGCAGGCCTCCCTGCTCCCACACTCACCCTGAGGCCAAGCTTGTTCCCACAGGTGCTTGGCCCTGGCACTTCCAGCACTGCTCTTGAGTGGAAGCCCCTCTTGCTGTCCTCCTTGAGAACCTGTGGAGAGCAGGTAAACAGAGAGCCTGGTAGCTGGCAGGGAGCCCCTGGTCCTGCCTGGCCTCTGTTCAGGGTGTTTCTGCCCCTAGTGGTGATCTCCCCAAATCTCTCGAAGACCCCGTGTCCCAGAGTTCTACCTTAGGAAGACAGGAGATGGCACTGGGGGCCAGAATGAGGCCTAGACACTCCCAATACCCACCTCCATCCCTGTCCTGGGGATGACCATGACAGGACACCTGGCTCACAATCTCCCAATAGCTGCTCCTGCCTCAGCTCCCTGTTCCCCCAAACTCAGGAGGAAGCCATTTCAGGATTACTCATGGTGGTGGATGGTCTCTGCCTCAGCGGCCCTCGATTGTTGCGTGTGGGCCTGCCTTGTCTGTTTATGCAAGGGCAGAGGTGCTGGGAGCAGGATCTTAACCAGCACCCCATTCTCACCATGATGTTTTGTCTGCGGGGTGTCCTGGGGTTGGGGTCTGGGGAAGGGGCCGTGCAGCCATAGGGAGAGCTCTGGCGGCCTGGCCTCTTAAAGAGTTGGCCTCCACAGGGGAAGCAAGAACACATCCTTTTGCATCCAAAGTATTTCACCAAATGATCTGGGGAGGAGGCTGTTGCTAGAATATGGGTGCCTGGTTACTGGGTTCCAAGTTCTGTTTGCATCTATCACCAAGGAAGGGAGGCCATGTCTTGGGGTCCGTGGTCTGACCCCTCCTCCAGAGAAGCCCACATATGTCCCTCTGGGCTATTGTTGCCCCTCCTCCAGCCCCATGACATTTCCATACGTGTCCACAGCCATCCCCAACACTGACCCCCACATCCCTTGGAAGTTTTATTCCCACCACTCCCGCCAACTCCTGCTTTTCACCCCCCTCTGCCATGGACCAGCATCCACTTAACAGACAAAAGATTCAGACTTTGTTTTTTTTGGGCTATGTTTGGTTTACTGAGCTTGATATCCTCCAACTCTAACTATTTACTTGCAAATACCATAATTTTATTCTCTTTTAATGCTGAGTATTATTTCATTGTGTGTATATTTACCACAGTTTCTTTATCCATTTATCTATTAAAGGGCATTTAAGTTGGTTTTATGAATTGTGCTGCTATAAACATTAATGTGGTTTGCTGTTTTTTAAGTCCTTTTTCATATAAACCATGCATTGTGATAGCTGGGTCAAATGGTGGTTCCATTCCAAGTTTTCTAAGGAATCTCCATAATGCTTTCCAGATTGTTTGCAGTAATTTGCAGTCTCACCTGCAATGTAAGAGTGTGCCTTTCCCCCCACACCCTCACCAACCCTTATTTTTGTTTGTATCCTTAATAACTGCCATTCTGACTGGAGATGAAATCTTAAGACTAGTTTTGATTTGCATTTCTCTATTTGCTAGAGATGTTGAGCATTTTTTTCATGTATTTATAGATAGATTATATATATTCTTCTGGGAATTGTCTGTTCAGCTCAATAAATAGAACATTTATTGGTTGGTTTATTTATTTATTTTTTTTTTAGTGTTTTTGAATTCTTTATATGTTCTGGAGATTAGTGCTCTATCTGATGTGCACGTGGTAAAAATTTTCTCCCATTCTTAAGGCTCTATTTACCTTAGTGATTGTTTCTTTTGTTGAGAAGAAGTTTTTCAGTTTGAAACCATCTCATTTATTGATTCTTGATTTTATTTCTTGAACTTTAGGAGTTTTGTTAAGGTAGTAGGGGCCTAATCTGACATGATGAAGATTTGGGCCATCTTTTTTTCTAGTAGGCGTAGGGTCTCTTGTCTAATACCTAGGTTTTTGATCCACTTTGAGTAGAGTTTTGTTCATGGTGAGAGATAGGGGCTAATTTCATTTTGCTGCATATGGATTTCCAGTTTTCTCAGCACCATTTGTTGAAGAAGCTATCTTTTCTCCAATACATGTTTTTGGCTCCTTTGTCTACTATGAGGTAACTGTGTTTATGTGTGTTTATCTCTGTATCCTCTATTCCGTACGATTGTGTACAAGCCTATTTTGATGCCAATACCATGCCATTATTGTTACTATTGCTGTAGTATACATAGTTTAAGGTCTAGTATTGTGAAGGAACCAGCTTCAGCCTTCTTGCTAAGGATTGCTTTGGCTATTCTGGGTCCCTCATTTTTCCAGATGAATTTCCTGACACCTTTTTCTATTTCTATGAGGAATGTCATTGATATTTTGACTGGAATTGCATTAAATCTGTATAGTGCTTCTGGTAGTATGGTCATTTTGACAATATTAATTCTGTCTATCCAAGAACAAGGGAGATCTTTCCATCTTCTAAGATCTTCGTTAATTTCTTTCTTTAGTGTTCTTTAGTTTTCATTGTAGAGATCTTTCACCTCTTTCATTAAGTTGATTCCCAAGTATTTTATTTTATTTTTTGAAGCTATTATAAATGGGATAGTTCTCATTAGTGATGTACAGAAATGCATTTGATTTATGGGTGTGGATTTTATACCTTGCTAATTTGCTGAATTTATTTATTAGTTCTAGAGTTTTCTGGTGGAATTTTTCAAATTGTCTCAGTATAGATTCATGTGATTAGCAAATAGTGATTTAATTTTAATTTTAATTTAATTTTAATTTCTTTCATCTGTCTAATTGCTCTGGCTAGAGTTTCAAGGGCTATGTTAAATAGAAGTGGTGAATGAGGGCATCCCTGTCTTGTTCCAATTTTTAGAGAGAATGCTTTCAATTTTTTTTCCATTTGGAATGGTGTTGACCTTAGGCTTACTATTGGCTAATAGTGTCCCTGCAGGTTTCCAATACCTCTCATTTAAGGGGGAGAACAATATTAACAGATCCCAATACAAAAAATATGTAGACTTAAATAGCTCCTATTAAGATTTTTATGGTTTTGTCACAATATACAGAAATGGTGAGTTCAATTATTAGCTAGAAAATAAACAGTAGGTTTGCAAAAAGATCTACAGTTTCTGATGCTGGGCAGAGACAGAACTGGGGGTGAGGTGCAGGATCAGATGTTAAGGGGGTAGGAGATGAGGATACAGAGTTATTTATTAGTTATTTTTAAATTATTATTAGTTATTTATTAGATCTTAGAAAGAGGAATCTTGGGGCTGGGGATGTGGCTCAAGCGGTAGCGTGCTCATCTGGTATGCGTGCAGCCCGGGTTCGATCCTCAGCACCACGTACAAACAAAGATGTTGTGTCCGCTGAAAAACTAAAAATAAATAAATAAATTCTCTCTCTCTCTCTCTCTCTCTCTCTCTCTCTCTCTCTCTCTCTCTCCCTCTCCTCTCTCTTAAAAAAAAAAAAAGAGGAATCTAAAGAAGTTGGTTAATAGCAGAAGAGAGAGAAAGTGATTTGGGGGAGACAAGTAAGTGGGAAGACAATAGAGATAGTACAAAAACCAAACATAAATGTTAGGAAAAATAAAAAAATGTAAAAACGAAAAATAAACATATATAACCCAACTGTAATATACTATTCAGGCATCTCAGTCCTCAGTAACCTAATCCATGAAAAATAATTGGTTTTGCAAGTGTTGGGGATGTGAGGGCAGGAGAAGAGAGAAAAAGAAAAGAAAAAAGAATAGAAAGAAAGAAAACAAAAAACATCTGGAAAGAAAATCTCATGACTGTTTCTGTTGGAGTTCACTATCTTTCTTGCTTCCCTTCTCATCCACTAGGTGGGGTTGTTTGTTGTTTGCTGGTATCTCCACCCTCAGGGTGCTGAAGGTTACTAGGGTGGGAGGGTTAGTTTTGGTGGTGGAACTCCTGGAGGTGGAGTATAGCACTTGCTGGTCCTCATTGGGAGACTGATGTGAGCGCCTGGTCTGACTTCTTTATATCACCTGTGGGCCTCACAATTCCTGGCCTTTACTTTACCCTCTAAACTGTATCACTCACCTCCTCCCTATCTACTTCCCAATCAGGAGCTGATCTTTCCAGAGGTCTTGTGGGCTGTGCTCTGAGGCCTTCACACTTGTCGCACTAGTCACAGAGAGCTGTTTTATATTGGGCATATCTGACCAGTCTTTGGGAGCTACTGACCAGCCACATAGCTGCAAGCACTGTTCCCAATTAGTGGCTGCGGGGGAGCGGGAGAGTTGGGGACTATAGTTAAATTGATATTGCTTCTACCACCCTGCCAGTGTTCCAAGCTGAGTGTTGCCCCTATTAAATATCGTGACAAAGGTGTCCCAAGTTCGAGGTGGTGGTTTCAGAGATGGGATGTCAGGTTGGGCTGGGTGGTGGCATTGAGTGGCATTGAAGATGCAGCTCTGGGTGTGCAGTGTTGTGGCTGGAAGCTATCTCCAGACCCTGTCCAGTGTCCCCAAGTGCAGGGAACTATGGCAGTGGTTGCAGTGTCCCAAAATGGAGGCTACTGGGGGAGCCCCATGCTGGTAGATGGGGGTCCACACAGAAGTGGCTGCCAGGGGCCTGCGTGAGAGTGGTGGACGGGGGTCCTGAATGGTAGAGGTGGCCGAATGTTTTCTCTAATATGCAGATGCTAATTCACAATAAGTGGTTGGGGGCTCTAGAGAAGAATAGCATTACCTTAGATTAGGTAGAGGAAAGTGAAGGGAGGGGAGGGGAGGGGATGTGGGGATAGGAAAGATAGTAGAACAAAACTCACATTTTTACTGTATGCATATATGTGGCTGCATGACCAATACGATTCTACAACATGTACACTGAGAAAAATGAGAAATTGTATCACATCTATGTATGATATATCAAGTGCATAAATCCATTCTACTCTCATGTATAACTAATTAAAACAAAGAAAAAATTTTAAAAAAGCCTTGGAAATCTATCTAACAAAAGAAGTGAAAGACTTCTACAATGTAAACTATAGAACACTAAGAAAAAGTATTGAATAATACCTTAGAAGATGGAAAGACCTCTCATGTTCTTGGACAGAAAGAATTAATATTGTCAAAATAGCCATACTTCCCAAAGCTTTATACAGATTCAGTGCAATTTCCATCAAAATTCCAATGATGTTCTTCATTCAACTGGAAATATTAGTTATGAAATTCATTTAGAAAAATAAGAAACCAGGAATAGCCAAAGCAATCCTTAGTGAGAACAGCACAGCAGGAAGCATCACAATACAGGACTCAAATTATGCTACAGAGCTATTATGCTACAGAGTAAGAAAGAGAGACTGTCACCAAAAAAGGCATGAAGACCAATGGAGTAATGACGTAGAGAGAAATCCACATAAATACTGTTATCGCATACTAGACAAAGATGCCAAAAACATACATTGGAAAAAAGATAACGAAAGGTGCTGGAAACCCTGGAAATCCATATGTAGTGGAATGAAATTTAACCCCTGTCCTTCACCCTGCACAAAACTCAAAGTGGATCAAAGACCTAGGATTTTGACCAGAAACCCTGCAACTCCTAGAAGATAATATAGTCCCAATACTCCAACATGTATGTTTGTTCAGGAACCGAGTTCCCTAAAAGACTCTTAAAAGTGAAAAAAGGAAAATAAATAAATAAACAAATGGGATGTCATCAAATGAAAAATCTTTTTCATGGAGTTGCCAGTGTAGCTCAGTGGTAGAGTGCTTTCCTAGCACATATGAAGCACTAGGTCCAATCCCCAGCACCACAAGGTCTTGTGGCCAGCTATTCAGACATGTCAGTCCTCAGTAACCTAATCCATGAAACAATTAAGTGTGTGAAAAGAGAGCCAACTGGATGGGAGAAAAATTGTGCCACCCGCTCCTCAGATGGAGCAATAATATTTAGTTCATACAAAGAACTCAAAAAAGTTAACACCAAAATAAAACAACAACAGCAGCAGCAACAGGCAAATAATCCAATCAATAAATGGGCAAAAGAAGAAATTTATGAAAAAGTGTTCAACTTTTGTAGCAATTAGAGTATTGAAAATTAAAACTACACTGAGATACCATCTCACTCCAGTCAGAATGGCAATAATCAAGAATACAAAAAACAAATGTTGGCGAATATGTGGGGAAAATGGTACACTCACACATTGTTGATGGGGACTGCAAAGTAGCACAATCTCTCCAAAGCAGTAGGAAAAAAAATAAAAAAATGGAACCCCTCATATGACCCAGTTACCCTACTCCTCAGTATATATATCCAAAAAATTTTAAATCAGCATACTACAGGGAGGCAGCCACACCAATGTTTATAGCAACACAATTCACAATAGCCAAGGAATGGAGCCAACCTAGGTGCCCTTCAACAGATGAATGGATAAAGAAAACATGGCATATATACACAACGGACTTTTATTCAGCCATAAAGAAGAATGACTTTGTAGTCTTTGCCAGTTAATTGATGGAACTGGAGACTATCATACCAAGAGACATAAGCCAGTCCCCAAAAGTAAGAGGTAAAATATTTTTATGATATGCAGAAGCTAATCCAAAATAAGGAAGGCTGAAGAAAAAAAAAGAATAGAAGAAAGAGCAGTGGAGTAGACAAAGGGGACTGAAGGGGAGGGCTGGGATAGGGAAAGACAGTGCAGTGAACCTGACCTAGCTTTCCTATGTACATGTGTGACTGTACCACAGTGAATCTCATTATCATGCACATGCACAGGACACTAATTAAAAAAAAAAACTATAAATAAATAGCAGAAATATCAGTCAAGTAGAAGGAAGGGAACATGGGGAGGGAGGAGGATAGGAGAAGAGGAAGTACTGGGGACTGAATTTGAACAAATTATATTCCATTGCTTTTGTTATTATGTCAAAATGAATTCTATTATCACGGATAACTGAAAAGAACCAAGAAAAAAGTAATATGTATTTTGAACATTTTTTGGGTATTATATAAACACTTCCAGTTAGATTTGGCATAGCACCCATAGTCAAATTGATTTTATAGTAAAATATCTTAAATATGTTTATACAAGCTGTTAGTTTAGGTTAGGTTTTGCTGCCAAGTCAATTCAGACCACGTCAATGTTTTCCATCAAATGAGTCCCCCCATTCCACCCCACAAATGGATTTTAACACTTCTGAGATTTCAAATTAGAAATAAGAGTGTATGGGTCTGCAGTTAGTTACTCCACATCATGTGAAAGAATCATCTTAGGCTCTGCTGACACTGAGTCCTGGGAAGAGAATTCAGCATCACCTGTTTTAGGCCTTAGAGTTAGCCGGTTTGTTGAAATTCAAGTCAGGGAGAACCAGAACCAAGGATTTGGCCTTGGAGCAGAAGCCTGTGGGAGCAAAGAGAATGCAGAGGAAAGTGTGTCTGCCACAGAGATGCAGGAGCCGGCACCATTGAGCCATGGCTCTGAGCACTTCAACACTGGCGCTTCAGCCACAGAGGGGAAGCTGGAAGATGCAGGTCCTCTTTCAAATATGTTAGCTCCAAACGAGGCAGCTTAGAGTGAGTCTTGCTTCTCTGACTGAAATTTCTTCAAGAAGAGAAAGTGCCATTCTGCAGTTATCAGCAAGTCCCTGATTTGAAGTTATTAGTGGAGATTAAGACTCGAGCTCTGGCTTTCAGTCCCAGAATTGTGCAGTAGATGCCGCAGTCTCTGCATGCATCTCTTTTCTAAAAAGTGATTTTCTCAGTCAGTCATATTGGTTCTGATGACAGAAAGACCCTTCCCAGCTTCATGGGGTTGGAGTGGTTTCCAGAGCTCTATCCTGGTTCTCTTGGACTAGGGGTGTTGCCCGGGAAGCCTCAGTATTGGAACTCAGTGGCCCAGAGGCCTCAGCTCTCCAGTCCTCAGGGGCAAAGCCTCTCACAAGTTCCTTTGTTAGGATGAAGTTTGACTGGTTTAAGCAATTTGTAACCCCCAACCATGCTTACCACCTCTATCTTTCCTCTGAGGAGACTCTTGGGAGCTGTGTGCAGAGGCTGGATTTGGTGCAACACCACAGTGAGGAAGAGCTGGGTTGGTGGCATCACCATGCTCTTCACAGGGTACTTCACCCTCTGCTGTAGCCGAAGCTTCTGGCCTCTGAAGGTGCAGCACTGGGGTAAGTAAACTTGGCCTGGATACCACTGAAGCCCAAGCTTTGGAGCCTTGGGACCCAGGGTGATGCCTGCACAGATGTGGGAGGGACTCAAAGAATCCAGTTACTGAAATCTTAAAAAAAAAAAAAAAAAGCCGTTTCCCTTGCCCACCTTCCACCAAAGCACAAATAAAAATCATATCAGAAAACATTTTATTCTCATTAAAGATCATATATTGATATTTGGAGGAGTGTTGGGGACTTGCCCAGGACTTCATGCTCTGTCAATGGGCTACACTCCTATCCCTGAAACTGCCTTTTAAGTTTTCTGTAAAATTTCATTGCATTACTACAAATGAAGATTGTTTGTTTGAATTTTCTTCAAAGAATCTTATCCCTTGTGGGGGTTTTCTAATATAACCTATTATTCAAGACAGCTATCCCAATGATATCTTTTTCCCCTATAAAAATGCATTTTAAAAAGAAGAATAAAGTACATCACACTACACTAATCTATACAACAGTCTTTTAGGTTTAACAGTAAGAATATTTCAAACTCAAAAATGAGGAAAAGAACCCAAAGATAGTAGTGAATTTTAGATAGGATAGAGCACCGGCTCCTAGGGGAATTGCTATTCCTATTCCTGGCTCTAGTGAAGAGTCAATTTAATTTTCAGGGTGGGAGGTATCTGGATTTTTTATTGACTTTTTCTATAATAAAATTATGTATTCTTATTTTTCTCAGTATTTCTAGTTGTAAGTTTTTAAAGTGTTTTGTAGTGCTGGTGATGGAATGTGAAGACTTAGGCTTTCTAACCAAGCACTCTAGCCCAGTGATGGAAAAAAATCTGCTATAACCGTATTTAGCATGGTCTAAGATGTATTCTCTCAGCTGGTTTAATGATTTGAAAAACAAAATCTCATGAATGATCATAAGTTTTGAATAATTTAGGAATAGTCATTAAGGAAGTCTTGTAGATAATATTTCATGAAAGAATCACTAAAAGAAGTATTCAATTATTAGAAATAGTTTCAAAATGTTGTGTTTACAATAATTATAATCATTAGTGCATATTAATTATGCCAAATAATGAGATTCACTATGAGATTTCCACATATGCATATAACATGCTTTGATCACATCCTCCTTCCCTATTATCTTCTGTAACCCCTTCACTATGACCGTGGTCCTCTTCCCCTTACCTGAAGGTCCACCTACTACTTTCATATTGTCTTTCCCCATGCCCAGAGTCCACATGAGAGACCATCAACACTTGTCTTTCTGAGTGTGACTTCCTTTACATGATGATGACCAGTTCCATTCACTTTCCTGCAAATGACCTTTCATCTTCTTAATGGATGGGGCTGGGGATATAGCTCAGTTGGTAGAGTGCTTGCCTTGCATTCACAAGGCCCTGGGTTTGATTCCTAGCACCAAAACCACAACAAAATAAAAACAAAAACAAACAAAACAACTTACAAAATCTAGCCAGGCATAACCTTGGTTCCAGCTCCAGGTCCCACCTCTGCCCCAAGTGTCTTTCCTGACAGTTCCTCTATGTGACCCCTATATGTTGGACCAGAAGATCTGGCTCCTCCCCTATGGCCAGCCATGCCCAAAGCCCCAGCCATGTGCCTCTAGGACCCCCCCACCCGCCATCCAGGCCTCTGTGTTGCTGCAAATGTGGTTCTTGTGATTCTGCGTGTGTTTTGCTGTTGGAGACACCGCCTGGAGAGCTGGGAGTTTCTTCCTTCGACAGCTGAGGGTGAGTTGGGGCTGGGCCCTGGGCTGGGGCCATGGCTGGGGTCAGGGGCAGGTAGGCGGGCAGGTGAGTCAGCTATGACTCACCAGTGCAGACTTGGGGGTTCTGGCCTTAGGGAGCGCAGGAGTACCTGGCAGGGAGCTACAGGTACCAAGGGAGACTCCAGTCTCCTGCTGCCAGTCAGCATGAGGCTTGCTCCCTCCTTCCTTCTCCACTGGGTTGGCAGGGACCAGAGTTTACCATGCGGGCCCCTCTAGGAGCCTTGTGGGAGGCAATTCCTCATTATGGGACCTGCAGCAGAGCAGATCCCAAGCCAGCATGGGATCCAAACTAATCTCCTATCCCTAATGTATGCACTGGCTCCTAGAGGAATTGCTACTCCTAGATGTATTGAGAGTTGGGTGATGGGTGTAAAAGAGTGAGGTAATAGTCCAAGTAAGTTTGTTGGTCCAATGAATATAATTAATGAGATGACTATTAAATTAGGCACATCCCTTTGGATTATGTATCATCATCATTTGCCTTAGTAAGAGCTGAATTAATCATTGCTGAAATGAGACTAGTTGATTATTGATAAGGCAATTAGGTAAAGGCAGTAAAATATTGGGGAGTGAGATAATGAGGATATCAATATATAATTTTATTATTGTAGAAGTAATGAAAGAGGCAAAAAAATTTTTGTTCATTTTTTTCCTCAAGGGGTCTTATGTTCAATCAATTTCAAATCTTTTGGTGAGGGGTTAAACTAGGGGTATGAATGGTTTGAGATTTTAGGTTGAAATAAGATAAATAGGGTGAAAATTATAGAAATAATGGTAATAAGTCATGTTGATGTATCTAGTTGGGGCATCTTGTTAAGAGGAGATTTAAGCTTCTAATCTTGAAATTAAAAGGTTAATGGTTTATGAAGAATTTATAATATTGATGAAAATCTGTTTTCAATGTGTTTCAGTGGAAGTAATACAAAGACCATTGGCATGAAGCTGAGATTAGGCTCACAGATCTCTGAGCCTTGTCTGTAATGTAATCTGGGTCATGTTGATGTTAGGGAAGCTTGGGAAAGTCAACCTGGAAGGTTTTTAGTCCAAGGGATGGAACTGCTCAAGAGTGAAGAACATCTTCTGATGAAATTAACATGCGTACTGGTAATTCTATAGGTAGAACTATTTGATTATCAACTGCTTGAAGTTGTAGTTCTCCAGGTTTTAAGTAAGAGGTGGAACCCAGGTAAGAATCAAAATTTAAGTCTTCATAATCTGTATACTTACAGCTTCAATATCATTGGTGGCCTGTTGTTTTTACTGTTAAGGAAGGGTCATTAATTTCATCCATTCTACATAAAATTTGTAATGAGGGAAGCACAATTATAATGAGGCTAATGTGAATGTAATACTTCAGATGGTCTAAACTTCTTGAGTATCTGTGGTGCCTGTGTGAGTGAGTTTTGAGGTAAGTATAAGGGAGATAATATCAGGAACTACGGAGCTGATCGAGAATAGGATTAAAAGTGTCTGGTTGTGAAAGTGTAATAGTTCTTCTATAATAGATGATGTAGCATCTTGAAATCCTAGTTCAATTTGGTAAGCCATGAAGATAAAAAGGATTCTAACCTATAAATTAACTTTGACAAAGTTATGTAAATTTTCACTAACATCTTATAAAGAAAGTTATAATGGTTATGGGGCTGGCTTGAAAGTAGTCATAGGAGTTTGGATTCTTCTCTTTCTTGAATTATGTTTTAACATAGGTTGGTTCTTCAAATGTGGTAAGGTGGAGGGATCCATGTAGTCACTCCGGGTTAGTTGTTGACAGTCTAAAATTAGGACTTCTCGTTTTGATGTGATGCCCCTCACATTATAACAATTATAATTATTACAGCTGTAAGAGAGATAAATGACCCTTTGAAGGATTCAGTATTTCATGTTGTATACATGTCTGGGTAGTCAGTATTGTTGTGGTATGCCAGATAATCCTAGGAAAAGTATTGGGAAGAAATTGAAATTCACTCCTACAATATAAAAGTGAAGTGAATTTTAGCTCATGTAGCATCTAGGGTATAACCAGAGAACAGAGGGAATCAATGAACATATTGTCCCATTATTGCAAACACAGCCCCATGGGTAGGACTTAGTGAAAATGAGCTACTACATAATATGTAGTATGTAATGCAATGTCTATTGCTGAGTCAGCTAGAACAATTCCTGTGTGGCCTCCTACAGTAAGTAGGCAAACAAAGCCCAGGGCCCTTTAATATTGCCACTGTGTAAAGTTGCCAGTCAGCTGAAAACTCTGGTTGGAATAGCCGTAATTATGGTTGCTGATGTGAAGTATGCTCAGGTGACCACAGCCATTCCTACAGTAAGTATATGGTGTGCTCATATGATGAATCCTAAAAAGCGAATGGATGTTGTAGCTCAAACTATCCCATATATCCAAAAGAATAGAATCAGAACGTATATTTCTGGATGTCCAAGAAACAGAATAGGTGTTGATAAAGCATAGGTTTTCCCTCCGGCATGGTCGAAAAACATCATATTTAGGTTAGGATCTGTGAGGAGTATGGACATTCCTGCTGCAGGAACTGGGAAGGATGGGAGGAGTAGCATGGCTGTAATTATTACTGCTCATACAAAGAGTGGAGTCTGGAATTGTGATACGGCAGGGGGTTTTATGTTCATAATGGTAGTAATAAAATTAATTGCCCCTAGGATGGATGAAACACCTGCTCAGTGGAGTGAGAAAATAGATCTACTGAGGCTCCTGTGTGTGCAAGGTTCCCAGCTAGTGGGGGATATACTGCTCAACCGGTTCTTGTGCCTGCTTCAACTACAGAGGAGGCGAGAAGGAGAAGAAATGATGGAGGTAGGAGTCAGAGGCTTATGTTATTTATTCGAGGAAATGCTATATCACGGCTACAGTGATAAGGGGAACTAGTCAGTTTCTGAACTTACCAATTATAATAGGTATAAGTATAAATAAAATTATTACGAATACATGTGCAGTTACAATTACATTATAAATTTGATTATCCCTTAACAAGTCTTTGGGTTGACCTAGTTCAGCTCAAATCAGTAGTCTATATGATATGTCAAGAGCTTTGTAATGTTTTGAACAACCAATAAAAAAAATTTAAAAAAATGAATCAGAAAAAAAATTAATAAATTTTTATGGGTTCAAATCCTATAAATCTAGTGAAATGCGTTAATTAAGGGCTTAGCTTAATAAAAGTAATTGATTTGCATTCAGTTGATATAAGATAAAGTCTTTCAGTCCTTACAGCAGGAACTTACTTATTGCTTTGAATTCTCTTGTTCTAAGTTCAACCTAAATTTCTAGCTGAAGATTGATAATAGGGGTGTAAGGGGAGGGATAGGGTAGATAGAATTATAGGGGTTGGTATAAAGGTGGGTTGTTTTTGTACTTTCGAATTGTCATTTTATTTTAGTATTATTGGAGGATGGAAATAATGTTAGGGATGGTAAGTAGATAAGTCTTCTGTAGAAATATAGGTTTAGCAGGGCTGTTATTGATCTTTATGTGTATAATAAAGTTATTATTTGATACAAGTTCCTTAATAATAACTCATTTTAGAGTGAACCCAGCTAATGGATGAAGTTCACCTAGGGATATAAGTAAAATAAGAATTATTGAAGTTATTAGAGGAAATTTATTTCATATATTGAGAGTGAGAGGGTGGTGGTTTTTTATTGTAATGGAATAACATGAATATGTTGATTATAAGCATAATCAAAGTAATTAGCTAAAACATAGTGTGGGGTTGAATGTGATGATTGCTATTGTTCAGCCTACATGAGCAAGTGATGAACATGCAAGATTTTTCATAGTTGGGTCTGGTTAAGTCCTCCTCATCCTCCTGATATAAGGACAGTATCACTATTGTTATTATTAAGGAAAAGTTGATTGAGGGAGCAAGTTGAAAGATAATTTAAATTGGTGCAATTTTTGTCATGTTAGTGGAATTAATCCTGAATGTAAGTGTGACTCCTTGAGTAACCTGGGACTCATTGATGGAATGGGGCTAATCCCATTTTTATTGATAGCACTGCAGCAAATATTAGGGAACAGATTTGGTTGTTGGAGTTGATTAAAGTTCATTGTCCTGTGTCTATAACGTTAGTCATAGCATCTATTATTAAAATTATTGATCCTCTGGCCCGGCTTAAGAAACATTTGGATGTAGCTTCTGTTGATCAGAGGTTCACTTTGTTAATTAAAATAAGAATAATGTCTAGTATGCTTTTTTCTAATCCTACTCAGATGTATAGTCAGAGGGAACTAAATAGTGTTATAGAAGTTCCTGAAAATATGGTTAGATAAATGGTAGCGAGTTAAGGGGTTATAAACTAACATTATAGGGTATGGGCCCGATAGCTTATTTAACTGACTTTACTAGTAGGACATGGTGTATCAGGTAGCATGAAGAATCTTGGATTCTTAGGGTTAAGTGCAAATCCTATAGTTCTAGAAATAAGAGGATTTAAACCTCTGTTATTTTCTCTATCAAAATAAACTCTTATGTTGACACATTTCTTTAGGTGTGAGGGGTACACATACTACAAAAATGGGTGGGGAGATGTGTCACATATATAAAGTTAATATTGGTGTGAGAAGTTTTTTGATAATAAGTGCATGAGTTGGTTGTATCAGAATCTTGGGTATCATGATCAAATTCATAAAAATATCGACGATTAAGGTCTTTAGGGCAAAACTAAATGTGAAGATTTCAGTGATTGGTGGGTTAAAGAGTGCTCCTATAAAAAGAGTTGTGGTTAAAGCTTTTATTATAATAATATTGGAGTACTTCATAGGAGATGGTTTGTGTTACAGCTTGTAGTGCTCCAATTAAGGCATATTTGGAATCATCCTGATTATAAGATTGCATATCCAGCTAAGCTTGATGTTGCAAGGATAAAGAGTATTCCTATGTTTATATTAGTGAGGGTTGTGGCATGGGTAGGGGATTCATATTGTAAATGCCAGAGTAAGGGCTAGGGAGGGAGCAATAATAAATAAAATGATGGAAGATGTTAGAGGTTTGAGTGGCTCTCTAAAAAGTAATTTTACTGCATCAACAAACATTTGAAGTAAGCCATAGGGTCCTACAACATTTGGGCCTTTTTGAAGTTGTGTATAAACCAGCATTTTTTGTACTGTTAGAGTTAAGAAAGCCACGGTCTCTAAGAGTGGGACAATCAGGAGGAGTAAGTCTACTAAATATATACATGTTAAGAAGAAGAGTTGAACCCCTGGTAATGAAGTTTGATGTCTTTTGCAATTGCCACGTTCTGCCGTCTTGACAGATGCTGCTCTAGGGCAGGGTGGGTAATAATAAAATTAAAATAAATAAATAAAATAGTAAAAAAAAATACTAGAATTAGATTATTTCCTCTATTATCTTAAGGCATGCGTGTAGAATTGGCCTTATTTCTCTTGTCCTCTCATCCAGGGAATTATTTAATAGATAGAAACCAACCTGGATTTCTCTGGTCTGAACTCAGATCACATAGGACTTTAATTGTTGAACAAAGGAGCCATTAATATTGATTATTCCATTTGGATGTCCTGATCCAACATCAAGGTAGTAAACCTTAACTGTGGATATGACCTCTTGACTGGGTTTGCACTGTTATCTCTATAGTAGCTTTTTCCATTGATCAAATAGTTTGGGTCAATTAATGAGTTAAAATTTAGACAGGTTGGTGTCTGGATTATAATCTAGTTTCAAGTCTTGGCTTAAATTCTTTTTGATTTATACTCTAAAGTCACCCCAACCAAAATTTTTAGCACATAGTCAGGGTTTTAGGCCCCCAAGGGATTATTGTTGAGAGAGCTTAGGCTATTAAATTGAAGCTCCCTGAAGTCTTCTCCTCTTATTAATTCATTCCCGCCTCTTCATGGGAAGGTCAGTTTCACTGATTACAAGTAAGAGACAATTAAACTGTGTCATACCATTCATCCAAGTCCCTATTTAAGGAACAAGTGATTATGCTACCTTTGCAAGGTCAGGATACTTCCACCATTAAATATATGTCACTGGGCAAGCTCTGCCTCTAATAGTGTTCATGCTAGAAGTGATGTTTTGGTAAACTGGTGGGGTTAGTGTTTGCCAATTTCCTTTTATTTCTGTTTTATATATATATTTTTAGTTGTCAGTGGACTTTTATTTATTTATATGTGGTACTCAGATTCGAACCCAGGGCCTCAAACATGGTAGGAAAGTGCTCTGCCACTGAGCCACAACCCCAGTCCTCATTTTACTTTTTAAAATCTTTTTCTTAAGTGCATGCCACTATTGGGTTAACAATATAGTCAATAATTGTTGAGTTTTTTGTGTTACATAGTTAATATCAGTGAATTATTTGGTCTAATATAAACTTCTGCAGGGAGAAGTTGTTTCTTGTTACTTATATTAACATTATTTTTTCTATATATTAATAGATCAGTCCAATTTAGGGTTAGGAGTTCATTTCAAGTATTGGTATTATGTTTGAGTTGAATTTGAGTTAAGCTTAAATAAATACTTTTTAAATTGATGGCTGCTTTTAGGCTAACTATGGTAGTTTAAAGTTTTACTCCCTAATTAAGTTTATTTCCTTCTTCTTAAGAGCTGTCCCTCTTCAGATAATAAGTTAAATTTACATTGAGATTACTAATGCTCTGGGTAAATTTAAGGTTGAACTAATATTCTATTCTGGACAACCAGCCATCACCAGGCTCAGTAGGCTTATCACTTCTACTTATAAGTTGTTTCACTAGTTTGCTACATAGGAGCATTGGCTCTAATTAGTTGCTCATAAGTTGCTGGTCTGGTTTTGGGTTTTGGCTTAAATTCTTTGTGTAAAGTTATTTCTAGTTAAATCATATGCAAAAGGTGAAAGTTTTAGTCTTTGCTTTTTTATACTTTTAGTTATTCTTTCTTCTTTCCCATGTCTCTATAGCTCCAGTTAACAATTTCTATTTCTATACTTTTATTAGGTAAGTGTTTTATCCTATTGATACATTGTTCTTAAGGTTTTTGGCTCAGGGGATAGCATTAGTTCTAAATTATGTGGAATCTTCTGGGTATAAGTTGGGTGCTTTAGATTGTTAAGCTACATTTTGGTTATTTGAAACACATTTTCCAGTATGCTTACATTTTTATGACTTATCTCTTCTCGTGTTATTAGTGAAATAAAATCATATATCATGTTATAGTTAATAGTACTTGAAGAGGGTGATGGCCAGTGTTGGGTGGTGTCACTGTGTGTGCTTTATTGCCCAGTTCAGCTAAGCTCTCTGTTCTTAGCTTACTACTAAATCCCTCTTGAACTTTGAGGTTTTATAAAAGGTATTCTAAGTGTTGTTCTAGCAGATGGAAAATGTAGTGCATAATTTCCACTTTATAGGCTATACCTTGACCTAATATTTTTATGTAACATTCTTGTGCTCACTATGAGGTTTTGTTAGATTTTGCTGGAGAAGGTGGCATATAGGGTGATATTGCAAAAGGAGGTAAGGTATATTGCGGTTTATTGACCATAGGACAGGCTCCTCTTGAAGGATATAAAGCACCGCCAAGTCCTTTGAATTTTAAGCTGTTGCTGATAGTACTCTGGTGAATAATGTCGTTTGAATAATAATAACTTATGTATAGGACTAAGCATAGTGGGACATCGAATCCCAGTTTGGGCCTTAAGTATCATGAATTCATATGTTTTAAGACTACTTTTGTATACAATTTTTATTATCACTAGGGCTTTCTACAGCTCAGTAAAGGGTCAGTCTTATTTAGTTGTTTTCTTAATAATGCTTTATGCCATACTTTATTAACTAGGGTAATCATATGACTGTTTTGGCTATCACGAAATTTACCAACCCTCTTATAGTATAGCTTAGTCAAACATTCGTTTACATGCTTAATTTTAATTACTGCTGTGTCCCGTGAGGGTGTGGTTGAGCAAGGCTTTGTGAGCTACATTATTTATAGTGAACCTGATACCTGCACCTTTTGATTGTATTTTGATATAGAGGATATTCTCACTGGGGTGAGGACACTTGCATGTGTAAGTTTATCATATCCAATAAAAAGACTTGGACCAAACCTCTGTGTTTATGGAGTGTATACACACACACACACACACACACACACACACACTCATCAAAGCATTTTCAGTGCTTTGCTTTATTTAAGCTACATTAACATATCATGGGCTTGTTCGGGCATTTCTTATATAGAGTGTGTTAAATTGTTATGTAAGTATCATAGTATTAACCAATATAGATGTAGTAGGGTTTTGGTATTAGTTAAATTCTTGTTTATAGTTTGTTAATGTGAAATTGGTATTAGGATGGGAGTGGTTTAAAGTTGATTATGTGGACATACTGAGACAAAGGTTAATAATTTTTAGGCCATGTAAGAACTATGTAATTTAGGGTTAAAGGTAGAGGTGGGTTAGATTTTAATTTATGCAAGAGTTGATGTGATGCTGGGAACTCTTGTCAAATTGTATATTGAAATAGTTTTTGTCCATCAAGCATGAATATATTATCACCTTATATTTAATATGCTAGATGGAAATATTGACTTAGAAGTGCAGCTACCATTGAATTGACTCTTTTAGGGCCTCTGACGGCCAGTGGTGAGTGAAAGCATACCCCCAAAATAAAACCCCAAAATAAAACCACTGCAGTTATGTTGGGTTATGGGCTCAAATGGCATTAATCCATCGTGATGTCTTATTTAAGGGGAATGAATAGGCGAGTTTACAAGTTATGGACTGAGGTAGAGCCAGATTCCAGATACAGTTTCATGTTAGCTACCCCCAAGTTTTACGGGATCAGAGCAAGAAGAGGTTCGTGAATTGTGCAGGTTGATGATTTCATGGAGGAAGGTAGATTAAGAGGCCACCATTGGAAGGGGATAGTCATTTGGACAAGGAAGGTTTATGACAGAATGGGGCATATATCACTAGTGAGTTTTATGTGCCTTGCAATACTAGAATTGCTGTTGGGAGGGGATACCCATGTTCTTAAAAGGCTGGTCATTTTGGAGCTTAGATGTTATGTTTTATGTAGTATATGAGTATTGTTTGTACTTGCTTACACGCATGGGTTAGGTATTAATGTTAACTAAACATACAATGTACTGTGTATTGTTGAGGATTATTTATGGGTTGTACATTATTAATGAGGTTGAGCATTAATGCACCGTATACATAAGAATTATTAGATTTATAGCTGAGTGGAGAGTAGTCACATAGGAATCAAATTTGGAGGAAGTGGTCAAGTATTAATGCAAGGGGTAGTTTAAGTTAGTAATACCAGCTTTGGGAGTTGAAGGTGGAATTTGTAATATCTTCCCTGAATATTGCTCTAAGAATATTTAAGGCTTCATAAACCAGACCAAAGTAACATTTATACTATTAGGACTTTTCATTTAAGGAGTTTGTTTTCGATTAAGCTGATAGTTGGGGAAATAAGTAGAATAAGAGTGAAATAGAGGACAGATGCTAGTTGACCCATAATGATAAATGGATATTCTACTGGTTGGCCTCCAGTTCAAGTCTGAGTAAAGAGGTCGGCAACCAGGACTCAGAAGAAACGTTGGCTTAAGGGTCGGAATATTATGCTTTGTTGTTTAGATACACAGAGGACGATAAATAGTATGAGGATTAGGACAGAGAATACTAGTGTGAGATTTATTAGGAATAGATCCGAGGATAGCATCAGCAAATAGGAAACATGACTGTGGCTTAATGTGGGGAGGAGCATTTAGGGGATTAGTGTGGGTATAATTGTCAGGGTCTCCTAGGAGGTCGGGGGAGAACACGACTAGGTCTGTGAAGACTAATCCTAGAGTGAGTAGGCCTGGGACATCTGTAATTGTGTAATATGGGTGGAAGGGACTTTATCGGAGTCAGAGATGAGTCCAGATGGGTTGTTGGATCCTGCTTCAAGGAGAAAGAGTAAGTGGATTCTTGCTAGGACTTCGATAAGAAATGGTGGAACAAAGTGGAATGTAAGAATCGTGTAGAGTGGCTTTGTCAACTGAGAATCCCCCTCAGATTCACTCGTCTAAGCTGGTTCCAGTATTGGGGATAGCAGATGGGAGGTTTGAATGGCACCTCAGAAAGGTGTTTATCTGCAGTGTAAAATGTAGCAATGAACACTGCAGCTGTGACTGCAAACAGGAGAGGGACTCCCGTAGTCCATGTTTCAGAGTAAGTGTATGATCCATAGTAAAGGCCTTGGCCTGCAGGAAGGAATAAGCAAATGAAGAATGTGCCATTTGCCTGTATGTATTGAATTAGCTTCTCCAGGTATGAGTTACAGAGGAAAAAGCTGTTATTGTGTCAGATGTATAGTGTATGGCTAGAAAATGTCCAGTGAGAATTTGGATAATAAGGAAGTGCCTTGAAGGGAGCCAAAATTTCATCATGCTGAGATGTTGGATGTTGTTGGGAGATTGATGAATGAGTGGTTAACAGTTTTGATTAAGGGATGGGTTTTGTGGATATTCTTTTTATAGTTGAATTACAACGATGATTTTTCATGTTATTTGTCATGGTTAAATTCCATGTAAAAATAATGACACATATTACATATTTATTAAGTATACTATTTGTTTTGGGATTGTTATCACTAATAAAGTAATAATCCTTTGTTTTTTGATGCCTTTTTGTTGACAGACTACTTAAGTTCCATATGCCAATCATTGGAACTCAGTGAGGTGAAGGTTTATTCATTAAAATTAATATATATAAGTTGTTGGTGATACAATACCTTTATTTTATTTTTTATGTGGTGCAGAGTATTGAACAAGTGCCTCACACCTGCTAGATGAGCGCTGTACCACTGAGCTACAGCCCAGCCCTTCAACACACTTTTGATTAGCCTCTGTCAGGTGCTAGGTGCTGTTCTAGGCACTGGATTATATTGCAGAAAATAGTAAAAACTCTGCTGTCTGGAGTTTAGATTCTGATGGGGGAGCTTTATACCAGGTTTCTCTCCCTGTTTTCTGGAAGATAAAGACTTTGACCTAGGGATATGCCACAGGCCTGTCAGCTAGTAATAGTGGAAGGCAAGCCCAAGCCTTCACCCACCTCCACCAATCATCTGCAGATAGAAGAGTATTACACAGTAGGAAAATGATATAATTCTGTGCCAGTCTTGTTCATCTCCAATATGAATCATCACACAGGGTCACCAATTTTTTAAAAAGGGTAGTTTTTAAATTATTTTCCTGTGATGCTGGGGATCTAACCCAGAGCCTCACATGTATTAAGCAAGCATTCTACCACTGAGTTACACCCCTGGGCTTTCGGATGGTTGGTGTTGAAATGACTGCTAGTCTGTCCACGGCAGATGATCTCTTGTAATGTGGTTTAATTCAGGAAACTTAGCAGACTGTCAAAGCTTATTCAGAGAGGAGTGTAATTTGTACTTTAAAAGGTGCAAAGATTCTCTGGAAAGGATGGTTTTTCACACGTTATAAATAAATTATTATACATTCTAGAGTAGATTTAGGATAAACGTAAAAGGAACTGTAGCTTATGGGGAAAAGTGGGAATGTTTTGTTTTGTTTTTTTTTTTTTTTGAGAGAGTGAGAGAGGGAGGGAGAGAGAGAGAGGGGAGAGAGAGAGAATTTTAATATTTATTTTTCAGTTTTCGGCGGACACAACATCTTTGTTTGTATGTGGTGCTGAGGATCCAACCCGGGCCGCACACATGCCAGGTGAGCGCGCTACCGCTTGAGCCACATCCCCAGCCCCAGAATGTTTTTAAAATCTCCATTTCACACTAAAACCTGTGCTGATGAGTCTCCTACCAGCCTGTACTGTCATGTTTTTGAGGATATCCTTTAAAACTCACTTTTTTTGAGGTGGTAAAGAACACAATTGGAATTTTCAATAGGAGAAAGGAGAATTAAAACTAGAAAAATAATTATTCTATGTGAGTAATTTGTGCAATGAATAGTCACAGGGTGTGACTGTATTGATAGTCATTTCCAGATGGATGCCTCACCCCCACACTGTGCCATTTTGAAAATGGTTTTACATTAGGATTTTTTTTAAAGTACTGCCCCAACCCAGAGTGGTACATACTCTCTCTACTAGTTAGCAACTCCCCCAACCCTTACATTAGAATTTGATTATAGTCTAAAAGTTGAAGACTGGAACTTAAGGGACCATAGTTGAGATGATATAGGGTATTTGAGCCATGTGAGATAAGGAAAGGCTGCAGGAAATATCCCAAAGAAGGGAATATACAGGGCCAAGAGAACTGTCTTGAGATAGGGTGGGGGCTGTCCTGTGAAAAAGGAATCTGATGTTTCCTATAAATTTTCAAAGGACAAGAAGCAATGGATAGAGGGTGCAGGGAAAGGAGTCTCAGCATGTTCTAAGGAAGAATTTGAAATGATGAGCCCTTGATGTGGGCTTCAGACTGTTCAAGTGCCTTGTGTAGTAGTTCCTTGGCAAGAATCCTGCAGGTAGGCAGGATTAAGGAAAGATGGGCTGAATGATTTCTATGATATTTTTATATCTAGGAAATATTTTCATTCTGTTCCAAATACTCTCGAGAACTCTGTTGTACTATTAGGAGCTTATTTGAAGGTGAGAGGGTACAGAAAGATGGCTGCCCCACAACTATTACTGTATTTAATAGATATCCAAGGTGTTGGAAGTGGATTTGCATATGCATGTGTCCAATGTCCATGTGTTAAATGCTTGGCAGAAATTTTACAGTAACCCTGTGGGACCAGTTTTCCAATTTGCATGGATGAGGGAACTCAAGCTAAGAGATCTTAAAAAACTTAGCAAGGCCTCACTGTCAATTAAGGGGAAGTGGAAGTGAAGATGCAAACAGGAGTTTTGACTCAGAAGCCTAAATTTATGACTTCTGAAGAAAGTCTGTTTTCTTCCTGAACCTCAATCTTTTTTGTGAACACATTGATAGATGGTGTTATATCCCTTCCCACCCAGTGTTGGTGATGATGCAGTATTTCTTTCATTTATATTAACCTGTCTGCCGGATTCTCCTCCTTTGCTGATGCTGTGCTCTCTTGTAAAGTAGGGGTCGACACCTTTTTGTGTAAAAGGCCAGGTAATATTTTTGGCTTTGTGGTAATGCCCAGTCTGCAGTTGCATCCAGGATCAATTTTTGAACAAAGGAGCGTGACTGAAATTTTAAAAAATGTGGCTTTGGAGGGATTTGATTTGGCTTTTGTCTGTATTTGCTGATCCCTGCTTCAAAGCCATGGTAGACATCAGTGTTCCTCCTTGGTCTCTCAGGACTTTGATCATCCCATATACATTTCTGTTTAGGGTCAAGGTTAATTCCATTGTAGTTACACATGTTTTCTGGTTTGGAATCATGGGCTGTCCTAATTGGAAAGCCCCTTGAGGGCACTTGGCCTGAGGTGTACTTTCCTAGCCCTCTGGTGGGACTATCCACTGAGCTACCTGAGACCAGATGGTTCCAAGGCATGTGTGCGCATTGAGAACTCTTGCAGATGGTGACCTGTCTAAAAGTGGCGTGTTCATAGAATGCAAGACTTGGCAGCAGTTAGGAAGAACTTAGTAACTTAGCAAGGCTGTGTTTTCTAACCCAGCTTGTCAAAATATATTGTTTGGTGAAAAAACAAAGTATAGATGTGTGCAATGATACCTTTTTGTGCTGGAAACATTGAACGTATGTTTTGTCTATATATTTTGTAAGGGTCAGGCCTGTGAGTGCATGGAAAGGCCTGAAGTATCCAGGAGCCCTCACTTTTGGGGAACAAGCCTGGTGTTGGGGCTGGTGATTTTTGCCTTAACTATGCTGTTGAAGATCTTGACAAGGAGGATGTGTTTGCATGTTACTTGCTTAATTAAAATTTAAGAATAACAAAAAGGATCAGCTGAGTTTCAGCCCGTTTATAATCAATAGGGGCCCCAAGAAAACCTTGAATGGAAGAATTGCAATAGGCTTTCTGGGAGGGGGTCCCTTCATGGCCTGCTGGATTGTTGATACTCCATGCAACGCAGCATCCTCATTACATAATAGGGACATGCAGCCCAGAGTAAATGGGATGAGAACCTCAGCTCTAATGACCTCTAGACTTTTGTCCTGCTGCCTGTCAATTGGGAGGTCACTTAACTTTCCTTAAGGTTATTTTCTAGTCAGCCTCATGTTCTAGTTGAGGAAAAGGAAGATGATAAATCAGTTTTAT